ATATATATATATATATATATATATATATATATATATATATATATTCCCATACTTGAGAGAATGTCAAGTCGAAGTATAGAGATCAAGCATGTAGTTGTGTAATGTTCGCATGTTCCATTTGAATGCTCGTTGTTGAAGTTGAACATTTTGAGACTTATCTTGTGAATGACTGTTGTCCATGGTTGGTTTTAGTTTTGTGTCTTTTCTTTTCTTTTATTTTTGTTCGGGACGAACAAAGGTTTAAGTGTGGGGGAGTTTGTTTGTCTCATTTTTGTTACATTTTTCATGCTGGTTTTGCTTTTCTTTTTTCCTCATTTTAGGTCGTTTCTTTTGTTTTTAGTCCGTTTCGTGTTTTATTCTGTGTTTTCCTTCATTTTGAGTCCTTAGGTGTTTTTCGTTTGTTTTTCCTGTTTTCTTCATGTTTTGTCGTTTTTGGTGTGTAGGTCGGGAGCTTGGGGATAATTTTATCAACTGTAAAAATTGGTTTCGAGAGCATAATTGAATAGAGGGGTTCATTGGCAACACATAGAAAAAAACGGAACTCAATTCCGAGTTCGAACGAGCCCAAACGAGCCCGAAACGTAAAGTAACGCAGTGCAGCCCAAGTCGCGACTCACGACATGAAAGTCGCGACTCGTGAGATGAAAGTCGCGACTAGCGAGAAAAACAGAGCCTGAAGGTTCAGTTTGCGAGCTCGAGTCGCGACTCGTGAGATATGTCGCGACCAACCCTAGAATTTGAAGATTTTGACGACGCACGACTCGCGACCTGAGAAAAGGTGAAGTCGCGACTCACGACTTATCGACGCGAATTTCGAGAAGCAGGTTTTTAACATTAGAATTTGGACCTAGGGCAGAGAATTCACTTCCAGACTTTGTTTTTACGTTCTTTCTCTAGAGAAACACACTCCGTTCTTTACTTCTCTCTTTTGATTGGATTTGAAGATTGAAAAACTCCTTTTTCTCGCTTTGGATTTGGATTGTTTATTGGATTTGACATTGAGATTCTTACTATTAATCGTAAGTTCTTATTCTCAATTGCTTTGTTGATGATGATAGCTTAGGTTTATATAAATTTTGATGTTGAATTCCATATGAGTAGCTAAATCCATTCGCTAGGGATAGGGGATAATTGATTAGGTTCGTTATAATTGAATGCTTTGAATTAATCATGTCTATGCGAGTTGTGTGAATTATAGGGTTAGTTGACTTATCACCATTCTAACCTAGTTAATCAACGTGTATGTAACGCCCCACTTTTATTTGTCGAAAATCAAAATAAATTTTTCAAATTTATTTCAAAACACCCGAGGCGCTACTCACTTTCAAAACGAACTTCCATACTTAACCAATTTCTCGACACTCATTCAAACGCCAAACTCAATCATCAACATTATTACTAACTCCCAAACGGGTTTTCCAAAATTTATAAATCACCCAAATCGGGTTTCAATAATATTCATAAATTTTAAGGAGCATCTCCTTAACATTATTCAAGTCATAAAATCCAATATTCATAAATGCAATAATACTCCAAGTTCATAGTCATAAAATCCAGAATTCATAATTGCGGAAGCATAACAAATAATAAGATCGGTCTTATAGACCGACCAACACTTGCTTTACTCCGCCATCGTGCCTGCCTCGCTTGACCTAAAACGTGAATTTCAGGTGGGGATGAGCACAGTAGGAAAAAGTAGTGCTCACAACTATCAGTAAACATTACTCAAACAAATCAACAGTATGATCTCAGCATGAATAAGAATCAATTTAATATCCCAATCTCCTGTCATCATAATATCGTCATAAGATCGTCTTAAAATCAAGACTCGTGTGCACACCTACGCATAGACTACTGCGTGGTAAAATACCGAATGCCCATCGGGCTTCTATCAATGCCCAAGCCAGTAGGAGTAAATTCTCAAAGGAGATTACCCAACGGGTACGTTCTATAGCTACGGGGATAACCGTTCGACGGCCGGTACAGCTCACATCGAAAGCTACATAGTTCACATGCATACTTTGATCATACCACAAATAATAAACATTCATTTATAACATTTACAACATAGCAAATTTTAAATAAAACTCACTTGGTGATTCGGTAGAGAAGTCACACAAAGAGGTCGGTGGGTCGAGGGCTCGAATCCTCAACACCTACATTAAGTCCAGATGCTATAATCAACATCTATTCTGACTTAAACGGAAATAACAATCATACTTGGCCGAACTTGATTCGACTAAGTTGTTCGTGAAGTTCTGTGGACGTTGGAACACTTAGACTCGACACAAGACTCAACCAAACCATATATGGGAGTTCGCATAAATCCCACTAAGGGTTGACCAAGTCAAACTCACAACAAAACGAAAAGCAAGTCGATTACCGATTTTAATTTCAAAATCATATTTTAAAAATACTAACCATTAATCACATAAAATCAGTTGGTCAGGCTACCCTATGACTTAAGCTCTGAAATTTTAACCAAAAATACGTCTCCCAGTAATTAGTAAAACCACAAAATTCCAGCATCAAACTCATAGTACATTAATTTACAAAATTCATACAAGATATCAGCAAGAACGCACATAAATCTATATCTGAACCTAATGAACAAATCAGGACTTCATATTTTAACACAACAAATTACAGCATGATAGAGACAACATATAAAAAATTTCAGCACTGGACATTAACTATACAATTTTTAAAAATTCACACAAATTTCAGCAATTATCGAATTTAAATTAAAACCGAAACAAATTTAACTCCAAAAATTTTCTTCTTTTAACAGCATGAACCTACACATAAAATAAGCATCTCAAATTTTTCAACAACCAACCGATTTATAGTAATTAAAACAACTTTCTGCAGAATCAGCAATTAAATTATTTACCATACCAAACTTAGTCCAAAAATTCTAAAACTTTAACACAACATATAAACATAACCGGGGCATAACATACTAAAATTTCAAAACATTTGAAGCACAAACCAATTTATTAAGCATTTAACAAGATTTTGACCAGAAATCATTTTATTTAGTAAAAATAGCTACAGGCCTCCAAAAGTTACGAAATTTTTACACAGGCCTGTTAATCAGCAGAAAACATATCCCTCAAACTTTCAAGTCATTCTGAGCAGCGTGCGATTTTTAAAAATTTAAACATCAAAACAGCGATATACATGCTCGTTGATTTTCACACATAACATATAACAATTAATTCTCGTCCGAGGCCTTCTCATAAGACCAAGGGCTCGACATCGTTCCAATATCCACCAACTTACACGACTTTTGAGGTCTCGTTCAATTTCTCATAATTGAAGAGATCCCGAACAACACGAATACACATAAAATCATAACTTTCACATAATTTCATATTGAACGCATATATCGCATTTATAATCACATCTCGCAAATCAAACATATACGTAAATAACATAAACGTTTTAAACAAGACGGGATCGACTAGGTACCGTTCTCGGGAAAACTAAAAAAACGAAACGAAAGAGAAGGTGAGCTCGCGGCAAGCTCGACGGCAAGCGTCGTCTCACGAAGAGGACAGCAGCTGAGAAGGGGATCGCTGCCGCTAGGCCACAGCTGGAGGTTGCTGCTCGTCGAGGTGCTGAACAGACATGAAGTCGCCGAAAAAATCACGAACAACGATCGGGGGGCTTCTTCACGGTGTGACGGGGCTGTGTTCACGGCAAAGGAGCAGCAGACGGAGAAAGCTTGCGGGAGGGCTCTCTGGTAACGTCTTGCGCAGAGGAGGCTTGCAAAGTTCGCCGAAAAGACTCTGCGAGATGCTGGTTCACGGCGGCGGATGCTTGCTGCTGTGAAGAGGAGCAGCCGACGGCGGTTGCTTCGCATGGAGGGAAGATCGTCGGAGTTGCAGTTGTTCACGCGCTGGAAGTTCGCCGGTGAGAGAGAGAGATCGCGACTGGTTCTGACGAGGGGAAGGTCGCTGCTGGCCAGAAGTGGTCGTGACGTCGCGGGGAAAGAGCGTCGGATCGTTGGGATCGCTGCTGGTCCGCGTGGTTCACGGCATCTAATTTGGCGGCCGACATTGATATGGTGGTGACGATCTGATTCTCCGACGTGAACAGGGCCGCGATGGCGATCGGAGATGGTGAAGACGATGGCGTTCCAGCCAGGGTGGGTAAAAGTGAGTTCATGGCGATCTGATGACGGGAAGAATATGGCGATGTGGGTTGAGAGAGATGATGATTGGTGATGGAGGGAGGGTTAACGAAGAAGACGATAAGATTTTCTGATGTGAACGAAAGAAGACTTGCGGCGATTTGGCGATCCTACAGGTGAGAGATATAGAGACATGTATATATAGAGAAGAGATCATATGAGAATGATAGATAGTGAAAGAAATAAGAATGAACCTGGACCATGGGATCAACCATATCAATGGTGATGATGAAGTCAAACTATAGTCAATCATTAATGGCAATCTTGTAATTATTTGATCATAGTATGGTCAAATATATGCATTTGACCAATAAATAAGGGTAAGTTGGTCAATACACATAATAGTAGGACGCACACATCAATTAACCACTTTTTCTCTTTCATCACTTTCTTCCTCACGATTCAGATCTCAAATCTGAAACACACACACACACACACACCGCACACAGCGGCCACCACCAACAGATCCGCCGGAGCAAGACTTCGCGAGTGCCTTCAGACAGCAAACCGCCGCCGCCATACCCACCCCTGAAGCCGCCGTCCAGCACGATCGTACGCCGTCAGAGAGCCCCGGCGTGTTCCATGTCGTCGAAATGTCCTCCGGCGCGGCTGAACGGAAGAGAGTTGACGTCGTCAACGATGGAGGAAGGTCGATGAGTGCAGCGGGGAACTCGCGTGACCGGCGACAACCCACTGAGATGGGAGTCTGACAGAGGACGGCGAACGGGCGGGTGGCGAGATGGTGGAAGGCTGATGCTGAAGGCACACGTTAGGCGACTGAGGGCGGCGACGGAAGCAAGCGGCTGGCGGCGGCGATGGAAACAGGCGGCGGCGACGGGTTTGAGTTTTGGGCTGTGAGATTTGGGATTTTCTTTTGAGAATTAGACTAATTTTAGGAACCTAGTTGTAATTTAAGGAATTTTAATTATATTTCAATTAAGCCCACATGCCAAATTTGTAATTATTGAAAGTTATTAAAAAATTAATTTTTATGTTTTTTCAAACAACGTATTATAGCAACGCATTCTCTAACAGGTAGTAGGGGTTCTTAGTTTTTGTTGTTACAGAATCCCGTGCTAAGAATGATAAACAAATTATTAGATAAAAATGATATGAAATATAAAGATAATATAAAATAATATATAATAATAAACAAATTATATAATAATAGTAATAACTAATAAAATATGTAAATTATTTAAATTAATTAATTGTACAATTGTATTTATTAAAAAATGGTTTTCTATTACACATAATTTATATGTGTTCTTACAGATTATTCCACTTTATAAAAAAACACTTTTGCACTGTATAAAACAATATGTTGCACTTTATAAAATAACACGTTACACTTTATAAAATAACAAGCTACACTATAAAAATAATATATAATAATAAACAAATTATATAATAATAGTAATAACTAATAAATTATTTAAATTATTTAAATTTATTATTTGTACAATTATATTTATTAAAAAAATGATTTTTGATTACACCTAACTTATATGTGTTTTTACAAATTATTTTAGGAACGATAGATGTACTATAAAAAGCACAAAAGTGCAAAGAGAACAAATTACAAGACCCCAACGGGGTAATCTAAGACCCCAACAGGGTAATGAGACAGGGGCCAACGGCCCAAACCAAAAACACGCCTAATAAAAGAACAGGAAGAGAAAACTGAGAGGACACGCACATGGCGGCCTAGAGAACTCCACAACCGAAAATAAAGGAACATAAATAACAGAGCCACTGCACAATGCCTAGCCTGTATTCATATCCAAACAAAGACAAACAAACACACAGACCAACTAACGAACAAAAAACACAGAAAACAACAAACAAACACTAAGCACACTAAATAAGCCCGTCCTAAGCAGCGAAACCAAGCTGAGCCGATGGATACCGAGTCAATCCAGAGAGAGTCCCACAGCCAAAGAGAGCCGACCCGAAACTGCCCAAACACCAACTTGGTGGCCTAACGAAGTCGAAACCCAAGCCCCAGAACAACATCCGAAATCAAACTCGAGCCACAACCTCAACATCAAAAATGCCTCAGGACAACCACGTGATCGAGCCCACTAACACCACTAGCGAGTCCAACCAAACCCGGTAAACCCCCGAACCACAAAGATGCCGAGGCCGCAACCACATCACCGACCACCCGAAACCACTGCACACCACCACCCACCACTGCCCCACCTCTGCCATCACCACTGGCCGGAGGTCAGAGCAATGGTAAACCCCGGACCCAACATCAAAGGAACGGGGAAAAAGGATGGAAGCACAGCGGAGCTTCACTTTATAAAACAACACGTTGCACTTTACAAATTATTTCACTTTATAAACAGATACTTTTGCACTTTATAAAACAATACGTTGCACTTTATAAAACAACACGTTGCATTTTACAAAACGACACGTTGCACTTTATAAAATAACAAGCTACACTTTATCAACACGCTCCACAATTAAGGTCAATAATTTTTGCTAAAATACAACACAACCTAATATAAAAAATGGATCAACATAATATTTTATCATACATCACATCATATGTTTCAAAAATAAAAAATAAAAAGACAAGCATGCTGACAATGTGTTGCACATTAATTTATACAGTAATTTTACAGTAATAAAAAAACAAGCATGCTGGATCAACATAATATTTTACAGTAATTTTAATTTATACATCGTCACGTTGCACTTTATTAAACAATGTGTTGCACTTTATAAAACATCACGATGCACTTTATTATGGCAATCCACAATTAAACGTCGATAATTCCCGCTAAAATACCACGCCATATATATCTAAAAAATATATCTACATAATATCGGTAGTTCAGTTCGGTAATGACTTTATCTTTTTTTTTTTAAATGTTAATTATCTTAATTAAATTATCATATCAATAAAACTAATTATTTCGATGTTGGTTTAGTTTAAGAGAAGTCGTTAAAAAATAATTGCACATAGAGTGCACATTAGTGTTAGACGGATTGCACATTATTGATTGTCAAATTGAACTATAACGATTGAACCGACAAAAATATATAAAAAAAATATTATTTTGTTATATATATTTTTTATTATTTTTATATTAATTCAATATTTTATACCATTTTTATTTACTTTTTTTAATTATTATTTTATTATATATGTATAAAACAAATGTATAGTAATAATAATAATAATAATAATCATAATAATAATAATAATAATATGTTTTTATAGATTACACATTTGACCCAAAGACTCAATTGTAATACAACTAAACTCAACAAAATTACAACCAAGTACCTCATATAAATCAAATTCTCAAAAACTAGGTCCATCTTTTCCCAGACAAGGCTGGGTGAGTTTGGGCGGCGGAGGTCCGATGGCTTGGGCGACTTTACGGCGGAGGAGTTGCCGCGACGTTGACCTTGAAGACTGTGCCTCGGTTGCTGTGGCCGAGGACATTAAGTTCGTCGAGATCGGCGGCGGAGATCCGAGATGTAGCTCAAACCAGTGCGACGGCCGGAGAATTCAGGGAGACAAGAGGCGGAGGTTGACAGTGCATCGGGTGTCGGACGTGTGATGACGAAGATGACAGCGAAAAAGTTGACGGTGTCAGGCGGCGGAGATGGGGGATGGATCTGGAACTAGTGCGGCTGCCGGAGGAGTTAGAGAGACAGGAGGCGGAGGTTGACGGGCGGCGGTCGTCGGACGTGCGATGAAGAAGACGAGTGCGGGAATGTTGACGGCGTCGGTAGGCGGCTGGCAAGGATGGAAGCTATATATTGTGCGTGAGTGTGTATCCGTGTGTGTCGGCTGCCGGCGTTACTGTGTCAGCTTGAGGTACCTGTGTGTCGGAGGCAACCAGACAGTGGCGGTGGGCTGGGTACCGGCGAGCCGCTGTGTGTGTATGTTGGCCGGCGAGTGTGTGTGTGGGATTGTGTGTGTGTGGAGGCGTGCGTTTCAATTTGTGTATCATTATTAATGTTTTGACGGAGTAGGTAGTAGATGGGGTGGGGTTGGTGTGTGGGGCCCGCATTTAATTAGGGTCAAAGGGTTAGTAGTTGTGGTGGGTCTGGTGGGGCCCGTAGATGGTATGAAAATGTCTAAAATACCCTTAATGAAGGTATAAAATTGTCTTTTTTTAGCCATTAGATCGGATACGATGCATTCTTATTTCTTTCACTAAGAACCTTTCTCATGTGAGCGTGACCCAATATATATATATGTAGGTTAAATAGTCTTGTTGACCAAGACAACTCACACCACACGTGCACAAGAATGAGAGAGAGAGAGAGAGAGAGAACCGGGCCAAGCTCATGGGTTTGGCGCTGGTTCAGTTACGGACTCGCAAGTTCAATGAAATAATTCGGCTCTCGGGCCTGACTAGACGTAGCGTTAAATACGGGTCTTCTTCTCGGGCTCGATAAAACGCAACACAAATAAATCTAGTATAATATATATATTCATAATACATACAATTTAATTTTTAAAATAATAATAATATTAGTAAAAATACAAATACACATTTTAATTAAATAATAACACTTAGACAATTTGGCAATTAGTCATATTTAGACAATTTAATTCGCAATTTAACAGATAAACCATATAGACATTTAATATTTAACATTTAATCAATAACAATAACAAATAAAGGCAAATAATAATAATAAAAATAAATAATAAATAATTCTCAAATATTCAATAATGAAACGGGGCATTACAGTGTAGAACCGAGAGGGGAGACGTTGGTCGATTTAGGCTCGTTTAGAATAGACTTGTTCGGAAACGTATTGTCTATGTGTTGTTGGAATTGATAGTTGATCATTTACATTCACTCTCTTGTTACGAAGAGTTATTGAGAGTGAACCTCTGATCGCGACTTATTTACACCCCCTGACGCTTCCTATTTTCCCAACATCCCGCAGAAGGTCGACCATGTTGACCTATGTGACCTCCCTAGTAAGGAGGAGATCAGAGAGGCTGTTTTTGGGATTGACCCCAACAGTGTTTCTGGTCCGGATGGCTATTCGTCTCTTTTCTTTCCGACCTACTCGGAGATTGTTGAGACTGATGTTGAGGAAGTTATGGCGGATTTCTTTTCGGGTCACCAGATGCCAGAGTCCTTCACAGCGACCTCTGTTGTTTTGATTCCTAAGAGACCTGACCCGAGCTCCTGGTGCAACAATAGACCAATTAGCCTTTGTAATGTGACCAACAAGATCATCCCCAAGATCCTTAACGGTCGCCTAGCCCCTTTTCTCCCTTCCCTCATCTCTCCGAACCAGAGTGGTTTCATCAAGGATCGAGTCATCAGTGATAACATCCTTTTAGATCAGGATGTAACGCCCCACTTTGATTTTAAAGAAATTCCGGACTTTCAGAAAAATTAGAATAATTTTTTTTCAAAATTTATTTCAAACATTTGTGGCGTTACTCATATATTTCGAATTACTTCAACAACATAACCTCAATTTCATAACATAGATCATCTAACTCCCAAAACGAAATTCATAAATCCATAAATCAACAATTTGCCCAAATCAGGTTCCCCAAACAAAACTCAAGTTGCAAAACATAACAATGTCAACGGGGCATCTCCCCAATAGTGTTTCAACACTTCATAAATTCTCAGAGTTCGAAAATTCATCAATCATAAATAGTCATAAATATAGCGGAAGCATGACCAATAAATAATCGGTCTCATAGACCAACTACCACTCGCTTAACTCCGTCGTCGTACCCGCCTTGCTTAACCTGAAATGTAAATTTTAGGTGGGGATGAGCACAGTTGGAAATTGTAGTGCTCACCACTATGCAGTAAACATTTATCAATATCAATAGCAGTCATAAATAAGTCAGGTATGGTCGCAGCATGTATACGAATCATTAAATCATCCCATCTCCTATCTCAGAGTCAACCTTCATGTGCACACCTACACATAGACTACTACTGATACTCGATTCGAATGCCAAAACCTACGCCTTGGTCTTACAACGATGCCTAGCCAGTAGGAGTAACGCCGGCCAAGACCAACGAATTGGTCTTTCAAACGGGGATCACCAGCCGAGGGCCCATGCCCCGATCTTACGGTCATACATAACTAAAGGAGACTACCCATCGGGTACGTTCTATAGCTACGGGGATAACCGTTCGATGGCCGGTACAGCTCACATCGAAGGCTAAATGGTTCACATGCATACATTGATCATACCACAAATTAAATGTTTATAACATTTACAGCATAGCAAATTTTAAATAAAACCCACCTGGTCGAAGCGACAATTCACAATCACGATTCTCGAAAGCAGGGTGAGGTCAACCCCTCAAAATACCTACATTAAGTCAAGGTACTAATATCAACACCTTATCTTGACTTAAAAAGGAAATCACAATCATACTTAGTCGAACTTGATTAGACTAAGTTATTTGTGAAGTCCTGTGGACATTGGAACACTTACACTCGACTCTAAGACTCAACCAAACAAGCATAGGAGTTCACATAATCTCTATCAAAGATTTACCAAGTCCATACAAACAAAGAATAGCATGCGAGTCGGTTTACCGGTTTTAAACACAAAAACTATATTTTAAAAATACTAGACAAAAATTACAAAATCTAATTGGTCAGGTTTTCGAATGAGTTAAACTCTAAAATTTTAACCAAAAATCAAACTCACAGTACTTGGAAAAATCACCAAGCTTCAGCCCCAAACTCAAAGTATGCTATTTTATAAAATTCAGACAATTTTATGGCAAAGACAAGCATAACAGCAGACCTATTGAACGAATTAGCCTATGAAATTTTTATCCCAGGAACCTCAGCATGTGAGTAACAGCATGTAAAAAAAACCTCAACTTTAAACACTTAACATGCGAATTAATAAAATTGTAACAACATTCAGCAAATTCCAACTTTTCAGCAAAACCTAACCACTCTGAACTCTAAAAATTCCAATATTTTTTTACCATGGAACACATTACACAATAAGCACTTCAACCAAAAATCAAAAGTTTTCAGCATCAGACAAATTTATCATAATTAAAACAGTTTTTGGCAGAATCACAAAATAAATTATTTCCCTTAGCAAAATGAGTCCAAAAACTTTGAACATTTTACACAACAAGCATATACACCAGAAAGACAACATATTCGAATTTCATAAATTTTGAAGCACAACTCAATTTATTAAGCAATTAATACTGTTC